GCTCACAAAACAATCTGCTCTGAAAAGGGCAGACACATTCATTGTTAGACTTTAAGGCCTCGAGAAACGAGCAGCACGTACGGCTCCCGGGAAGGACAGGTGCTGCGTGTGATTAGTACGCAGGCAAAACAAATGGCAAACGCACTCATCAATTTGTTACCAGCTTTATAGCGCGGTGCATATGGAACGGCTTTAAACAGTAACAGCAAATAGTTTCCCGGCACACTCACCAGCCGGCATGTAAAAAAACGTGTCTCACCGCTAAGGTTAAAAACAGAGGTTTAGATACACGTCTTCTGCAGAACATGTGAAAGCCGCACAGCCGCGCCAAGGCACCTCTATATAGTGCGGTCCTAACTCTAAACTATGAGAGTCTCCATCTTGGGGCAAAAGATAAAATTGGGTGCTCGTCAGGGGGATGCCCAACCTCCCTTAAAGGCACAGTGACGCATGCTGGCCGGTGAGTGTGCTGGGAAACTTTTTGCTGATTAGTACGCAGCCCCCGTCCTTCTCTATGGGAGTACGCGGCCATACGCCGCCCTACGCTCACCCCAAGTGCAGGTTTGTACGGGTGCTTGTGTCCCGGCTCGGACGCAGACAGGATCCATTCTGTCGGCGTACGAGTACAGACGTGCAGGGCGGGTGAGCGTAGGGTGGCGTACAGCCGCGTACTCCCATAGAGAAGAACGGGGGGGGCTGCGTACTAATCACACACAGCGCCTGTCCTTCCTGGGAGCGGCCCGATACGGCCGTGCATGGAGCTGTACGTGCCGACCGATTCTCGTGTGAATGAGGCCTAAAGAGGACTTGTCAAATTCTCAAGCCAAGTACACGGTCTGACATTGCCAGTGAGCCGTGCGAGTATCAGCGAGCACTTCCATCTCTCCACCAATCACTTGTGAGCGCCATACATCTAAATGTGAACACTTTATTAGAGAAGTCCCATGTGCAGGTGAACGGAGGCTCAGCGGGCTCACATCATCCGCTGACACCAGACTTTGATGACTGACATACAATGAGAAATATTCCTTCATCAGCATGAAACCATTTATAGTTCTAGATAAATATGTGTGTGTGTGTAGTGGGAAATATTATCATACACGGACATTCTTCTGGTCCTTCAGCACACACATAGTGACACATGTAGCGTGTCCCGGCAGTGTTCTTCACTCCATGTTCTCCGTGTTACTTTCATACACTTTGTTGGGTTTTCTTTCCTCAGTCTGTCCATGCATTGTCCTCCATAATCACATTTGTCTTCCCTTCCCCATTAATGACAGATTTGGAGATGGATAGTGTAAGGACAGGGCCGCCGTGCCTTTCTGAGGTACCGAGTCCCTACAAGCTCAGTTCAGGTACCTCCTCTTCTGTGTACGTTATGTGTCTGTACATCAGCTCGTGTCTGTGAGTCTTGTGGGAGATCCGCGTCCCTCTGCCCGAGGTGGAGCGCAGCTTGCAATGCGTCTTCAGGGCCCATTACAGAACGGTCTCCACCTTTTTATATAGGAAGTGATTTCTACTTCCACGCGTTTCACCTCTTCAATTCTCCTATTATTACCGTGTAATATAACTTCCCACAAGACTCAGGGCAGGTCTGAATTCCTAACACCCAATATATGGCTCAGTTCACTTGGCTGTAACACGTTATTTTTAGCCGCATGACAATTATCCTTTTGTTCTCTTCGCTGAATCTAACACTCGTTATGTAGTGAGCTGAGCCCATAGTCTAGATGTAGACGTCTCTACTAACAAGGACACTAGAAATGGGACAGAACATCCCAACCCACTGCTGTCAGTCCTTCTACCAGGCCAGTATAGAAGGAGGGTCGTCTATGGCCACACGCGTGTCTCCTCCTCTGTGTGCTCCGTGTGTATGATCTCTGTAAATACTGTATGTTAGTTGGAGGAAATGTCACGCTAGCTACATATGATCTGACGGGAGGGTGAAGCCATTCTCACGCATGTCCCCGTCTCTGGAGCGGACATGTCAGACCCCCAAGAGACCAGAGATCTGGGTAGAGGCTGCATTAGGTCTGATATTCAGTCTTCTGGGTCAGTAACACGATAATGGCAGCAACCTAAAAATTATCCCCGAGAGAGTCAGGAAACATTGTCCAAAGTAGAAGAAAGTTCTTAAACTAGCCGAGAGTCTCAAAAAAGGATTCAGATGTCTGCGTTCAGTCCAAAAACACCAGTTTGACATGTCTATCCTAGTGGACGGATAGGCTGCATTCTCAGTGATGTCATCGCTCTCTAGTGAAGGGATAGGCTGCATTCTCAGTGATGTCATCGCTCTCTAGTGAATGGATAGGCTGCATTCTCAGTGATGTCACCGGTCTCTAGTGGACGGATAGGCTGCATTCTCAGTGATGTCACCGCTCTCTAGTGAATGGATAGGCTGCATTCTCAGTGATGTCACCGCTCTCTAGTGGACGGATAGGCTGCATTCTCAGTGATGTAACTGGTCTCTAGTGATTGGATAGGCTGCATTCTCAGTGATGTCACCGGTCTCTAGTGAATGGATAGGCTGCATTCTCAGTGATGTCACCGGTCTCTAGTGGACGGATAGGCTGCATTCTCAGTGATGTCACCGCTCTCTAGTGGACGGATAGGCTGCATTCTCAGTGATGTCACCGCTCTCTAGTGGACGGATAGGCTGCATTCTCAGTGATGTAACTGGTCTCTAGTGATTGGATAGGCTGCATTCTCAGTGATGTCACCGGTCTCCAGTGAATGGATAGGCTGCATTCTCCGTGATGTCACCGGTCTCTAGTGAAGGGATAGGCTGCACTCTCAGTGATGTCACCGGTCTCTAGTGGACGGATAGGCTGCATTCTCAGTGATGTCACCGGTCTCCAGTGAATGGATAGGCTGCATTCTCCGTGATGTCACCGGTCTCTAGTGAAGGGATAGGCTGCACTCTCAGTGATGTCACCGGTCTCTAGTGGACGGATAGGCTGCATTCTCAGTGATGTCACCGGTCTCCAGTGAATGGATAGGCTGCATTCTCCGTGATGTCACCGGTCTCTAGTGAAGGGATAGGCTGCACTCTCAGTGATGTCACCGGTCTCTAGTGGACGGATAGGCTGCATTCTCAGTGATGTCACCGGTCTCCAGTGAATGGATAGGCTGCATTCTCCGTGATGTCACCGGTCTCTAGTGAAGGGATAGGCTGCACTCTCAGTGATGTCACCGGTCTCTAGTGGACGGATAGGCTGCATTCTCAGTGATGTCACCGGTCTCCAGTGAATGGATAGGCTGCATTCTCCGTGATGTCACCGGTCTCTAGTGAAGGGATAGGCTGCACTCTCAGTGATGTCACCGGTCTCTAGTGGACGGATAGGCTGCATTCTCAGTGATGTCACCGGTCTCCAGTGAATGGATAGGCTGCATTCTCCGTGATGTCACCGGTCTCTAGTGAAGGGATAGGCTGCACTCTCAGTGATGTCACCGGTCTCTAGTGGACGGATAGGCTGCATTCTCAGTGATGTCACCGGTCTCCAGTGAATGGATAGGCTGCATTCTCCGTGATGTCACCGGTCTCTAGTGAAGGGATAGGCTGCACTCTCAGTGATGTCACCGGTCTCTAGTGGACGGATAGGCTGCATTCTCAGTGATGTCACCGGTCTCCAGTGAATGGATAGGCTGCATTCTCCGTGATGTCACCGGTCTCTAGTGAAGGGATAGGCTGCACTCTCAGTGATGTCACCGGTCTCTAGTGGACGGATAGGCTGCATTCTCAGTGATGTCACCGGTCTCCAGTGAATGGATAGGCTGCATTCTCCGTGATGTCACCGGTCTCTAGTGAAGGGATAGGCTGCACTCTCAGTGATGTCACCGGTCTCTAGTGGACGGATAGGCTGCATTCTCAGTGATGTCACCGGTCTCCAGTGAATGGATAGGCTGCATTCTCCGTGATGTCACCGGTCTCTAGTGAAGGGATAGGCTGCACTCTCAGTGATGTCACCGGTCTCTAGTGGACGGATAGGCTGCATTCTCAGTGATGTCACCGGTCTCCAGTGAATGGATAGGCTGCATTCTCCGTGATGTCACCGGTCTCTAGTGAAGGGATAGGCTGCACTCTCAGTGATGTCACCGGTCTCTAGTGGACGGATAGGCTGCATTCTCAGTGATGTCACCGGTCTCCAGTGAATGGATAGGCTGCATTCTCCGTGATGTCACCGGTCTCTAGTGAAGGGATAGGCTGCACTCTCAGTGATGTCACCGGTCTCTAGTGGACGGATAGGCTGCATTCTCAGTGATGTCACCGGTCTCCAGTGAATGGATAGGCTGCATTCTCCGTGATGTCACCGGTCTCTAGTGAAGGGATAGGCTGCACTCTCAGTGATGTCACCGGTCTCTAGTGGACGGATAGGCTGCATTCTCAGTGATGTCACCGGTCTCCAGTGAATGGATAGGCTGCATTCTCCGTGATGTCACCGGTCTCTAGTGAAGGGATAGGCTGCACTCTCAGTGATGTCACCGGTCTCTAGTGGACGGATAGGCTGCATTCTCAGTGATGTCACCGGTCTCCAGTGAATGGATAGGCTGCATTCTCCGTGATGTCACCGGTCTCTAGTGAAGGGATAGGCTGCACTCTCAGTGATGTCACCGGTCTCTAGTGGACGGATAGGCTGCATTCTCAGTGATGTCACCGGTCTCCAGTGAATGGATAGGCTGCATTCTCCGTGATGTCACCGGTCTCTAGTGAAGGGATAGGCTGCACTCTCAGTGATGTCACCGGTCTCTAGTGGACGGATAGGCTGCATTCTCAGTGATGTCACCGGTCTCCAGTGAATGGATAGGCTGCATTCTCCGTGATGTCACCGGTCTCTAGTGAAGGGATAGGCTGCACTCTCAGTGATGTCACCGGTCTCTAGTGGACGGATAGGCTGCATTCTCAGTGATGTCACCGGTCTCCAGTGAATGGATAGGCTGCATTCTCCGTGATGTCACCGGTCTCTAGTGAAGGGATAGGCTGCACTCTCAGTGATGTCACCGGTCTCTAGTGGACGGATAGGCTGCATTCTCAGTGATGTCACCGGTCTCCAGTGAATGGATAGGCTGCATTCTCCGTGATGTCACCGGTCTCTAGTGAAGGGATAGGCTGCACTCTCAGTGATGTCACCGGTCTCTAGTGGACGGATAGGCTGCATTCTCAGTGATGTCACCGGTCTCCAGTGAATGGATAGGCTGCATTCTCCGTGATGTCACCGGTCTCTAGTGAAGGGATAGGCTGCACTCTCAGTGATGTCACCGGTCTCTAGTGGACGGATAGGCTGCATTCTCAGTGATGTCACCGGTCTCCAGTGAATGGATAGGCTGCATTCTCCGTGATGTCACCGGTCTCTAGTGAAGGGATAGGCTGCACTCTCAGTGATGTCACCGGTCTCTAGTGGACGGATAGGCTGCATTCTCAGTGATGTCACCGGTCTCCAGTGAATGGATAGGCTGCATTCTCCGTGATGTCACCGGTCTCTAGTGAAGGGATAGGCTGCACTCTCAGTGATGTCACCGGTCTCTAGTGGACGGATAGGCTGCATTCTCAGTGATGTCACCGGTCTCCAGTGAATGGATAGGCTGCATTCTCCGTGATGTCACCGGTCTCTAGTGAAGGGATAGGCTGCACTCTCAGTGATGTCACCGGTCTCTAGTGGACGGATAGGCTGCATTCTCAGTGATGTCACCGGTCTCCAGTGAATGGATAGGCTGCATTCTCCGTGATGTCACCGGTCTCTAGTGAAGGGATAGGCTGCACTCTCAGTGATGTCACCGGTCTCTAGTGGACGGATAGGCTGCATTCTCAGTGATGTCACCGGTCTCCAGTGAATGGATAGGCTGCATTCTCCGTGATGTCACCGGTCTCTAGTGAAGGGATAGGCTGCACTCTCAGTGATGTCACCGGTCTCTAGTGGACGGATAGGCTGCATTCTCAGTGATGTCACCGGTCTCCAGTGAATGGATAGGCTGCATTCTCAGTGATGCCACTGGTCTCTAGGGACGGACGGGGAGGGGGCGGGCACAGCTGGCCTTGGATCTAGAGAGGCTGAGCCAACGGTCAATCAGGTGGCGGGGTGGATCCTGACCATTTTGTCATGATCTGTCCCGGCTGCGGTGCGGCTCTGTGCTGTCAGCATATAGCGGGCAATATCCCCCAGCTATATCCTGAGTTTTGGGTCACAGGGGGACATTAGTATAGGTCTTCCTGTGATCCTAAAGAGAACTATGGAAAGAAAGGTTGGGCCATAGTTCCCTTTTAATGTATCAGTTTTTATGGGAAGTTTTCCGCCAGCATGGAAAGTCTCCTCTGAGGATATGGCCGGGTATGTGATCCTCAGTGGCCATGTTCTGTATG